GTTATATTTTTTAATTTTATTAGATTGTGTATTTTGCAAATGAAATTGTAAATATGTAGATATTTTTTTAATTATTTACACAATATAAACTAATGCATTTTTTTATGTGTATTACCGTAGGGTTTTTTTTGTAAATAATAATAACTACAGATCCACTGCGTTTATTCATATTTAAAAATTGAATTAATGCGCTAATACAAATGAATGTGAAGCGTGAATTGAATTAGTTTTTGATTTTCATTAATTTTTTAGCGTTCCCGTCGATAAATGAGTTAATTTAGAACAGTGATTTCTAAGTCGTTTTCCAAGTCTAATTTATTCGAAAGATATGTCATTTTATTTTATTTTTATTTTTTTTTCTTTTTATTTTTTGTTATGTTTAAGATTTATAATGTGACACGTGAAATTTTATTTAGAAAATGCTGTTCTAAAAATGGAAAGTATCGATGGAATTTCCAATTAACTTTGAAAGAATAGAAAAAAGTTCATTATTTTTATTACGCATTAACAGTTTTAATTATTAAATCGTATATCAATGTGTATGTATATATGTATATATATATATATATATATATATATATATATATATATGTGTATGTGTGCAAGAATAAATATATTTATTCTGCACAACGACTGCGAAATAAAATTGCAAACAATATTAATACTAATAATAATAAAGTAAAATTGTTATATTCTTCGTGCTGCGTGATAGAATTTATTGAAATTCATGCTTCCATACATTTTTTGTTTTTGTTTTGTTCTATAACTCACGTAATCAGTCGATTATCGAAGGGCACTTATTGTTCATTATTTTTGTACAAAAAAGTTTAATAATATATCATACAAATGAATTTATTATTAAGAATATAAAAGTCCACATTTTTATATAGTGGCATATTATGTAATCTATATTTGACATCTACTGATATAATTTTTTTAATAGATTACAAACTGGCTGAGAAGAGAAGAAACTACTGAATTTTGAGATGAACTCAAGGAAGCTGAACTTTGAAATGAATACAAGAGTGATACCACCATGAGTACTTGCTTTACGAGATTGATGGATACATTTGGTCATTGGATACGGAGAACTACACGAGCAAACATAATGAAATGTATCAAAGACGTAAGAACAAACTATGAGTTTTAAGTTTTATTTTTTAAATCTTTATTTTGAATTTTAAGTGAAATTAAAAAATAACATTTGATCTGCTCTTTCAGTAAGTAAAAGAAAAATATCTTAATGGTATATTATAAAATGTACATTTAATACAAAAACTTGCGAATAATAATAATAATGATAATAATACGTAAGAAATAGCTCTTCCATGGGTTTAATTTCAGGCATATATATATACACCATTGAAACATTATTTTTAAATAAATAACTTAATATTTATATAATACATTAAATTTACTTCTTATATGTATACCTCTCCTTATCATACCTGTGTCTAATTTTTGATCATGATAATAATATATATATTTTACAATTTCACGAATAATCTTAATTCTGAAGTAAACGACAACAAAACAAAGCTACCTTAATGGTAGAAAAAGATAGCTAAAACAGTCATATATTACTTATATATAATTACATTTGTTTGGTATAATAAAATAAGAAAACAAATATAATAAGCGTATTAAATTAACAATGGTTCTTTGAAAGAGACCAAGTATATTTAGGGATAAAATGCCATTAATCAAGATTTAGTATTAATAATCTTCTTCTTCATAGCCATATCCATAGTCATCATCATCATCATTTGTAGTATGTCGTCCAAGCATTTGCCCTACTGTCATTTCGGTAGGGTCATCAATAGCGTCGTCTATATAATCTTCTGCTTCGTCCACTGTAAGATAGAAAATTATATCAAATAAACGTATGAAAAGTTAATAAGGAAAACAGACATTAATACATACCAACATTTGATGCATCAAGTGCAGGTGGTGTAGGAGGTGCCATATCTTCCTCCACAGATTCTTCCAATTCTTTTGGACTTGTTATTTCTACCTTACGTCGTTTATTAGATTTTAGAGGACGTGTCTCTTGTGATAATGATATTCCTACATTCTTTGATAATGAAACAGATGTTCTAATAATATGAAACATAAAAAAGGAAAATATAAAAAAAATATTTCAAATGTAAAATATAAAATGTATAAAAACTTTCATAACAACTAACCCTGATGATTTAATCTCCATTTTAATTTCAATCTTAGATTTACATGGTGATTTTTCTTCTTCTTTCTGTTGTTGATTACTTGGACCGTTAACATTCAAACTTTTTAATACTTCATAATTGATTTTAGAAGATATACGTTTCTCTTGCAACATTTTTTCGATAGCTTCTCCTTTATAAAGAAGAATATATAATTTAGTATAGTCTTTTTATATATATATTCTTTGTTTCCTAAACTTTATATTTTAGTTTTAATTTACCTGCAGTAGTAGCAGGACCTTGATTTTTATTTCGTTTTGTAGTACGTCTTCTCTTTTTCTCTGGTTTACCTTCTTCCTTTTCTTTCTTTCGTCGTTCTTCTTTTTCTTGTTGTTCAGTCAAATATTTTGCATTGACTTTTTTCCATAAAGTATCTTTGAATTCAGCTTCTTTTTCTGTCATTATATAGTCGTCCAGTTCGTCATCGTCAATGTCAGCACTGTCAATTTCTCCAGAGAACTGCGATAAATAAGTATTGGATTCTTCTTTCAAGAAGACAAACAATATTATTAAAAAAATGTATATATACTTACATTTTCAAAATTTGTTTCTATTTTATCTTTTGATTCTCTAGTCGTTTCCTTTGTTCCATTTAAACCCATGGATGCAATATCAGGACCTTCAAAAGTTTACAATATTTTGTTGTAACATAAATTATATTAATTGCTAATTAACTTTGTCAACATATACATGCATATGTATAAATAGATCTTACCAAGTCCTGTAAATAACGTATCATTATTACGTTCAAGTAATTCTTCCTCAACATCCGAATCCACATGTTCATAATCAATGCAACCTTTAATAATATTTAAATTAGTTTCTTTAATAAATCTATCAGCATAATCACTTTCTAGATAAGGGCCTGTAAACAAAGTTAAGATTATATACATATTTAGGAAATATACATTGTATGTATGTATGCGTGCATATATAAATAAGTTACAGAGAATAAATTAAAATACCATCTTTGCGTTTTTTTCCTTTTCCAACTTTTTGTTCATCTATTTGTCTGTCAATTTCAGCTTGAAATTCATTTATTTCTGAATCTATATTTTCTAACTGAAATTAATAAAAGCAAATATTACAAAATATAATATATTAAAAAAAATTAATGTAATAATTCTATAGCTTAAAAATATTTGATGTTTTTTTTACTTTTTGTAATCGTTCTCTATCTTTTTTACGAGCAGCTTTAAATGCAGGTGGATCTTGTTCTTCCTCTAAATCAACTGTCATAAATTCTTCCAAAGTCAAGGCACTAGAAGGTGTATCTCCAAATTCCATTAATCTAAGATTCAATATTTTAAATATCTGATTTAACATTAAATATATATAATACACACGCACGCATGCATTTATATATTATTTTTATATTATAAAATAAATAATTTATGACCTTTTACGTAAAGTAGATTCATGAACTTTGACAATTTTTACAATATCAGCAGGGGATCTATTAAATTCATGTAATCGTGCTGCCATTAACAAAGCTGTAATGAAATAATATATATGTATATATTTATTATAACTAAATTATATTTATATTCTCTTAATTAAAAAATATATCATTCAAATTTACCCGCGCCACATAGTCCTGATGGTTTCCGACCACTATGTATGCTATCTCTTTTCATTCTTTGCACTACTCTTAATGCAGTCATTGATACTTCATGAGTTTTTTCACCAAATTCAAGCTTATTTGCGAATCTCATAATATACAAACAAGGATCTAAAATATAATGATTTAAAAAAATATAATATATAAAAGTAAATGCAATACGATTTAAATCATGACGTCAATACGCGGCAAATTTAAAAATTCAATATCGCTATTTAAGTTCATAAAAATACTGTTATCCGATTGGTCTGTTATAAAAGATCAAAATCGACGATACAATATTTGTTTTAAATAAGATCATAAATATATTATTTGGAAAAGTTTGGCCATTAAATAATGGCAGAATAAAGAAAGTATGATTTAAATAAAGAGACATGCGCGTTTTAACTCGGATTATCGACCGATTGCAGAGATGAACGTAACGTGTGATGTTGCCTAACCAGCGCCCGTCTTCCTGGCATGGCGCCTCGGCCCTCGACCTACGTATCTTTATTATCTTAAATTTCTCGTGACTTTTTCATTCGAAACGGCTAAAAAGATTAAGCACCGATTCAAAATAGACAAGAAAAAGAAAAAAGAAGGATTAATAGACAAGAAAGACGTCTCGTCTTGCAGAAAGAGCAGAGATGTCTAACTTATACTCGAAGATCACCGCCAAGCCGTTGCAACGGTATCAAGATAACGTCACGGTCAAGCAAACCAATGCTTGGGTCAACGGTAAGAAAATTATATGAATAAATTAAAAAAATAATGTATTTTAAATTCATTCTGTTTAAATAATGGATATACATGTACATATACCTATATTATATATATAATATATTTATATATACTTATACTATATATATATATATATTGGTATATATATATATATATATATATTGGTATATATATATATATATATATATTGGTATATATCGAAGAGAAATTTTCTCTTATTGATTTATTTACAAATAATGGATGATCAGTCATCTAATGTTTTTAAAAATTACAATCGTGTTTTTAGTTTTAAATAAACACATCACCCTGAAATAATTCAATATATATAGATATATTAAAAACAACGTTATTAATAATTATATCGCATATACGTTTCATATCATTTCAGATTGATCGTTACATGAAAATATCTAAAATAATGAGTACAACAAATTTATAAAAGTTTTTTGTATATATCTATCTCTACTGTTTGTATATATCTATATGTATATTATATTGAGAGACAGTGACACGCATTCACGTTGATAAGATAGTTCCTGTTATCGGCATGACTACGTTAATCATTAGGGTATCATTTAACAAAATTATATTGCTTCATGTTGAAAGCGCCTTAAATTATGATATCGATATACAGATTAAAAAGACAATTGAATGTTGATTAGAGTTATCGTATACAATGGTAGATAATCGTGTATTTAATCAACGTTGTAAAGAAATTCGTTGATATTTTTTTCATACATTTGATCTTCGCACTATGTGCATCACGTGCAACCGAGAGTTGCACGAATATGCCCGAACAAAAACGGAGCGAGACGAACGTTTCTCGGTGCTCCGCTACCACGAAACGTTTTTGCTATTCAATATGATGCACATACATGTCCCGCTTTAATCGGTACATCTTATTGTATAACGGTATCGAATATTTTACGGAATTCATCAATTTGTTTTGGTGACACCTTTTTTTGCTATGTCGAAACATAGATAAAAGATTTGCTCTAAAATTAATATCAAATTGATGAAATAATGTATACTGACGGTAAATTATTTGTTTTTTTTTTATGACGCGTCAACTTTCGTTTATATTATTTAAGAAATATTATTATTTCTGTATATAATGTGCTACTATATTGTGTATGTACAAATATGATATGCTTTCATGAGATATTTATTTCTTTAATTAAGGTTATTGGTTTAAATGAGAAAATAAGTGCATTGAATCATTGAAAAAATGTCAAGATGGCAATCTAATCAAGAAAACTTGTGAATGTTCTAGCGGAATCTCCGAGCAATGTATCAGATTCCCCACCATCGGTAAGCCCTCTGTCTTCTTCCATTGTATTGCAGCGAGAGGGAATAATAAATCAGCCCCCTAGTGCTCCTACATCACCACTGTCTTCCTTATCATCGCCCGTAACTCATTTGAATCTTTCATCACCCGAAGACTGTACACAAGATCCTAATTGGCAAGCAACAAAAACTACGGTCCGTGAACGTAATGCTGCTATGTTCAATAACCACCTCATGGCAGATATTATTTTTATTGTTGGTAGTCCAGGTATATAATCGTTCTTTCCTTCTTATAATTTAATAGAATTGATAAATATATTATAATTATATATATTGAATTTTAAGGTATTTGAAATGTTGAATATATTATAAATAGAAGATGATGTTTGTTACAGGTCATACACAAACTATACCAGCGCACAAGTATGTCTTAGCTACTGGTAGTTCCGTATTTTATGCTATGTTTTATGGTGGACTAGCAGAAAATAAACAAGATATAGAAGTACCAGATGTAGAGCCAGCAGCTTTCCTTGCGCTGTTAAGGTGAGTATGTAAGAGATATATAAAGATCATGCTTAAAAATTATGGAATTACAAATTTCATAGCAGAACTTCACTATTTTTAAAAGAGTCTTATTTCAGGTATATGTACTGTGATGAAGTACAACTAGAAGCTGATACAGTTTTAGCAACCCTTTACGTTGCTAAAAAATATATAGTTCCACACTTAGCACGTGCATGTGTCAATTATTTGGAAACAAGTTTGACTGCTAAGAATGCATGTTTACTTCTAAGCCAATCTCGATTATTTGAAGAACCAGACCTTATGCAACGATGCTGGGAAGTTATAGATGCTCAAGTAAGTAATAATCAAAAGGTATTAAGTACCATTACTTTAAATACAAGCTTGGACATGATGGTAGATGAATCAAATTTTCTTAGTGATCATGATTATCATATTCGACATTTTTATTCTTACGAAGATGTTTGTATCAAAGATAAATTCAAAAAGTCACAATATGAACGTAATTATCAGAAAAAATTAAGAATAAATGACACTCATGAAAGTTCCAAAAGTAGAATATCATTAGTACCGCACTGTTTAAGTTTATCTGAAATTAAATGTTATTCCTCTGCAATTGATATAAATAAAGAACGATTACCATATACACTTTTTCGTACGCGTAGTGAGCCGTATTTTCCAGGTAATAAACTGGACATAGAAATCACACAAAACATGATGTATCGAGATAGTTTTATAGAAGATTATGAATGTATGAAACACACAGTAAATGTTAATGATCTTTCAGATAGTAGATATAGTAACAATCATGATTTATCTAAAATAGTAGTAAAATCTAATGGTGTAATTATGTAGAATTTATCTAATAATTAACCAGATAAGGAAAACCTGTTTTACAATTAAAATTAGTTTTTATTATAAAGATTTCAAACATTATCAAAATTATCAACATTATTAAAGATGCTTTCACTTTTTAATAATCCATGTTGCAATCGGTTAATATTATATTTCCTGTAACTTATATCGCATTGTATTTTTAAGTTTGTTTTTTATATATTACTTGTATATAGCACTGAAAATATAAAACTTGTAGAGATAAGTAACTACAATAATAAAATACCATTAAAAAAACATGTAATCTTTATCAAAAATGTTGCTTTATAGAAAAATAAATGCTTTTGAAATTTTTTATGTAATAGATTTTAAATCTTTTTTGATATATTATTTTATTAATGAATGTAGTTTACTTGCAATTTTGTATATTTACACTTATATTTATGAAACTAAAAAGGCTTCACAATAAAAGTTATATTTTATTTATGTATTGTGTCCCTCCATCATTTAATTTTAATAAAAAATTAAATGTAGATATATTAAGACTATATAAGTTTTCATTTTTAAAAACAAATATTCCTTATCTGTTTAAAAAATTTTTTAATATCGAACTTTTTAGAATCTATTTACCTACTTAATAGATATTCATTTTACATGTCCCTGCTTTTGCATTTTTCATAATATACTCGGTAGTGATCAATTTTTCTGTGATAGTAAATATATTTTCAGGTTCATTAGATAAAAGCATTATGAAATTTAAATAGAGAATGTATATAAGATAAAAGCAAAAATATGAGCTTTATTCTATAGAAGAATTATAAATAATATTTGGATTTTTAAAGATAATTTTTAACAATAATTTTTCGGGAATAAAAAATTTATAACTATGACAAAATAAAAGTAATATAAAACATAATGAAAAACTGAATTATTTATTATTTATACAAGGCCCTCGCACGTGCGTGTATAATTATTATAATTTTTAGATTTAAATATCATATATAAAAAAAAATCTCAACAGAGAAAATTTAACTACATTTACTGAGAACAGGATATCCATTGAAAATTAAATACACTATAGTATTCTATTTTTGCATGATGTATTATTTAAATATCTTCAGCAAGTACTTGTATATTTAAATTCATGTAAATTTATATTAATATCTATTACACAGGCAGAAATGGCACTAAGATCCGATGGTTTTGTAGACATTGACATTCATACACTTGAATCTGTCTTATCTCGAGAAACATTAAATTGTAAAGAGATTTATGTGTGGGATGCTGCATTAAGATGGGCTTCTGCTGAGTGTTTAAGACAAGATCTTGAGCCCACATCCGCGAATCAACGACAATTATTAGGTGAATATTTTTAAACTTTTTAAAAAGAATTAGTTATATTATTTCCATTCTTTATTTTAGGATCTGCCTTGTATCTAATTCGACTTCCAGCTATGAATTTAGAGGAATTTGCTAATAGTGCCGCACAAACTGGTATACTGACACAACAAGAAACAATAGATGTTTTTCTACACTTCACTGCAAGTAATAGACCGATGCTGTGCTTTCCCACAAAAGCTCGACAAGGATTAAAAACTCAGGTACGCATAAAAAATATTAAATTGTCCAATCATTTCTCAACACAAAATAATTTTTCTCAATGTCATATTACTTGAAATAAATTATATAGGTTCATCATATAGTTCTGCCTATTCTTTTGTTGATAATGTTTTAATTAATATATTCAAATTTGGCTTCCCATAAAAATTGTAAAATTTATTGGTTTAAGTGACATAATCATTTTCATTTTATTTCTTTTTTCCTTTTTTAAATTTTTATGATCTATATACTGTATCTATATAATGTATTAATAATTTATTTTGTACCATAAAACGATCTTAATTATGATTGCTCTATATGTATATAAATTTTAAGATTTTATGTGCTTGTAATAAAGTATTTACTGATCTACGTGAGAACTGGAAATTTCTTTATAGGTTTGTCATAGATTCCAATCATGCGCTTATAGATCAAATCAGTGGCGCTACAGAGGAAGATGTGATTCAATCCAGTTCAGTGTTGACAAAAGAATTTTTGTGGTTGGTTTTGGTTTATATGGAAGCTCTACTGGTGCTGCGGACTATAATGTTAGAATAGAACTTAAGAGGCTGGGCTGTGTCTTGTCAGAAAATAGTACAAAATTTTTTTCTGATGGATCAAGCAGTACATTTCACGTGTACTTTGAAAATCCTATACAAATAGAACCAGAGTGCTTTTATACAGCAAGTGCAATACTCGATGGTGTAGAATTAAGTTATTTTGGTCAAGAAGGTATGACAGAGGCTACGGTTGGCAGTGTAAACTTTCAATTTCAGTGTAGTTCTGAAAGTACTAATGGTACAGGTGTTCAAGGTGGACAGATACCTGAATTGATTTTTTATGGACCACCGTCAGATGATTGATGTAAATTTATAATGTGAGTAACACTTTAATCAAAGTGTTTTCTTTTTGCGAACAAAAAAAAATCTTGTAGGTATTCAGTGGCTATCATTTTAAACGAAACTTGCACACTTCGTCAGCCTGTTAAGTGACAAGTTAAATTTAGTAGAGTGAAATTCTACTGTGTGGGAATTTGCACATGATATGTATATTCTATGATGAAAATAGTTTAGTACACAGATCTTGTATTAAAATATACCCACTTAGTAGAATATTTTACTCTATGCACAACTATATCTTGCAACAGAGAATGTATTGCAAGCAATATTGTCACTCTACAGATTTTAGTAAATAAGCAAGTATGACAGGTGCACTTTAATCTGAAAGTTTTCAGAATATATTCTTTGCTGTCATATGAAAAAGAAAAATTTATTTTAGAAACAAATAGTGTTCAATCTTAATGGTCAGATATTATAAAAGTAATAAAGCATAAAAATAAGGCAATAAGAAAAATAAATATGTATTAATAATAATCATTTTACGATGACGGCAGTAGTAAATCAATTAGCAATTTTTCAATCGTTTGAAAATACATACGTTGTAACATAACAATGTATAATAATCTTAAATTTCAACAAAATGGATGAATATTTTTGGAACTGCATAACTGAGATATTTGTAAAACAAAACAAAAGTATTGTGTGGATTATAAAATATTGTCAAAAATATCTCATTTCGTGATGTAACACTAATTTGAATTGAAATAACTTAAAATACTTCTCAATACTATCTCAATTTCTATCTTATCAATTTCTATCTTATCAAATGAATCCATATTACTTTGAATAACAAAAATATAATTTGTTAATTTGTTATCATAAATTGTATAAAAATGTCAGTATTTAAATAACATAAAAATATAATTCTGGTATTAATTCCATCTAATAAAAGTAAACGCATAATATGTAAAAACTTAGTTCTATAAAAGAAGCATTAAATTAACGTTAATAATTCTTTTATTGTTTATTTTTGCTAATATTTGTATATAATTATCACATTTTTTACCTGAATATCAAAATATAACCACAAGTTTAGTTTATCTTTGTACAATACATCACATATGTAAGTGTATATATTAAAGTATTAAAAGTAATGAAAAAAGATAAGAGATAAATAATTGTTCAATATAGTAAATAACAATATTGTAAAATAGTACATTTATCATTATTTTCTATCTTTATTGTTATTAGATTTATTTATCATTTATATTTTTTAGAATATGTGTAGAAATGAAATTGTTTTCTGCTTAATGGCAATGAAAATTGTAAATATTTATAATAAAAATATATAGAAATGAGACCTATGTAATGATAAAAATGCATTGTGAAAATTTGTATCATATGTGAGTTTTGAAAAAGGTAAACATCATTTGAAGAGAAAAAAATTAACTATTAACTGCATCATTGCTACAGAAAAAAAAATATGATTTTTCTGGTCCTGATGAATTTGGATTAATAATTGTTATTCTTGCAATAAATTTAATGAATATTTAATAGATAATGATTATTCAATGAGACCTAATTCCTTGAAAGTATCGTAAAATTTGTTAACCAAATATTATTTAAATCTATTATTATATTGACTCTTATCAAGTTTAACATTGCAAGAATACATTTTAAATTGTAACAAGTCTTACATTTAGGCAGTAAAAAAAAACATTATTATAAAACATTATCAATCTTTGTCTAAATTTTATCTTATTTCATAATAGAAATGTAAAAGTTTTGATACTGAAATATTATAAGAATTTTTTATTTAAGTTTATCTACTAATCATATTGACCAATAATACTTTGTTAAGTACAAATATATATATATATAAAATATATTAATATATATATAATATATATTATATATATATATTAAATTTTTTAATAATTCATTATAATAAGTGCAAATACATATTCTTTAAATTCAAGTAGAGGTTACTTTAATTAAATGAAACAGCCGTAAAAAATAAATTTTTGAAATAAAAAATTAAAATAATGTATCATGCAAAATATAACAATTTATAATAAATACTTACCTACTGAAGGTATATTGATACATAAGGCTTGTGTGAACCGCAAATACGTCCGTCCCAATTCATGGACACAAATTTGAAGAACATCACTGATATCGATAAGCAAATCTTTGTAAGTCATTAAGAAATCATAAATAAATAATTATACGTAAATCTAATATTACTTATAGTTTACTAATATATAATCTAGAATTTTCTTAAATAAAAATATATATAAAGGATACGAGCCGTGCCTTCAGTGCGACAAGTGATATACACACAGGCTGCATGATTGTGAGCTTGTTTTCTTCCACGAGTCAGTTGTCGGCTTAATGCCATTTTGTAAAAATTAACAGATATATCGATGCAATGCTGATTGAGTCTTATAACAAATAAAGAGAATAGAATTAGATAAATATAAACATTATATTTCCAAGTTATATTGTTGATATTAATAATAATTAGTTAATTTATCTAGTCACCTTAAATATAATTATTGATAATAAGAAAAAAGAATTATGAAACTTACTGTAATTGCATACAGAGATGCGTTATTCCTTTTCTTGCATTTTGTAATGTGATACCTCTTGATTCTTTTCCACTAACGTGATATGCTAAAAAAAAGAAACAATATATTAATTTGACTTTATTACTTCATCACGCAGTATAATTACATATATGGATAAATCATATCAAATGCATTAGATGAAAAACACAAATGGTAGATTTATATTAAAAGTATTAAAGATAATATACCTGCACCAAATCCTGTAGCTCCACCAGTACTGTCATTTGCAACAAATTGTCCAAGGACCATCATATTGCCAGATGGGGATTCTTCAAAAGTAGTCTCACTGACAATAAGTTGGTCCTCCAGTACAAATCCACATTCTGTACAAACAGCATCGCCTCGTGCAGGGTCTGTCTCTATGTCTATAGAGCCACAATTACGACATTTATTCCCTGACATCTGCAATATAAAGTTCGATAGACAATTGTTAATAAAAATGAATTGTTAATACTTATTAAAATAGAGATATTATAACCTTTACTTTAGTTGTCACACAAAATGTAAAAATACATATATTGATACTGTAGAAAAAAATTGTTATGTTAATTTAAAAAAAATTTGTGCTACGACACAAAACTAATTAATATCCTTTTTTCTTTTTTTTCAACACTGTTTTGTGATACGAATAAAAAACTTTGCATCTTTTTTATTTCCATCACATGCGTTTGACATTCTAAGTTCATAAAGATACGTAAGTATTCTCAGTTAAGGTTAATACAACTTAATTTTTGATAAATACAGATACATTATGCACAGAATACAAACACAGTAAGGAAAAAATATATCCATGTATAGGAATTATTTAATGATCATTATTGTTTTATATTAAAAAATATTTTATATACCTTTATTAGTTGTTTTTAACTGTAGCCAATAGTGTTTAATACTCGGCGGCACGAATTCTTGCTAACTCAAGTAGAGCACTCCGAATTTGTAATTCCAAAAACAAAGGTTTAATTCCCATCAATTTCTCTCTCTCTCTCTCTCTCTCTCACTGTCTAGTTGAAAAATATTTTATCAATTATATTAATATATAAACTATTGAAAATGATATATACATATATATATATATAGGAATACTCATGCGGGGGCGCGCGCACACACACACACAACAAAGAGAAAGAGGGAGTACAGATTTATTATAATGCTGCAAAATATTGTAATATTTGGAACTACGTACACATACTTATACACTTATAATAAGTGGCGTTAGTTGACGAACCCTTTTCTTTTCTATCGATCATTATTTTTTGATATATAACGAAGTGTCATATGGTGTAATCTTTATATGTGACAAGATAGTTATAGATTTAAGGCTCTTCATTAGCCATGGATTTTTAATGGTTTACTCTATCAATGAGAATAGGCGTAATTCTTGACTGATTATGATGAACAAGAACTCATTTTAAAGATAAAAATTTAATCTACGGCGCCTTTTTAACGAATTTTTAAAAAAGCTTTATTTTCTTTGAAAAAAATCGTATTAAATAATGGTATTATTTCGAGAATAGTTTATGCACAAACAAAAGTTTTTCCAGGAATTCGTTAAAGAGGTGCTATAGATTAAACCTTCTTAAAAATGAGACCTTGTTCATCAAAATTGGTCAAGAATTACTTCCGTTCTCATTGATATCGTAAATGCTGTTTTTGACATTTTTTACAAAGAAAAAGTTTAGTACTGTGGCGCCCCTCAAAATTTGTGACAAAAGAGTGAAGCTTGTACTTCCACTACTGCTTTTCATATACACGCTTGAATGGTGTATGTTTATGTTCGTGAATTAGCGATTGCCTACTTGGTTGTATATGTAAATAGCTGATGCTCAGATTTGTTGAATATTTCCAAATGTAAAGAAATGCGTTTCATGATACTTGCACGGAGAAGCTACGATAACTCACTCGATCATTTTAATGAACTTTGACCAGATGATTCTATGTCAAAAATAAGAAAATATGTGTCCAATCATTTATGTTAATGAACTTGAATTTCCAAAATATTGTTAAATTTTGAAAGAATTTGTAGTTTTTTTAGATTTTAGACACAGATAGACAAAAAATAGAGGTTCTATAAGCAATTTATAGCGTATTGGTAAGCGTCTAGATTCGTAATACAGGAATCGTAGATCGAGGCTAAACGATTTCTGATGTTTTTTTTTATTCTATCAATGTAAACGAAAATAACGAATTAACTTACTCTTTTTCTCTTTATTTGATAATTTAATAAGATATTACTATTCAATCTCTCTTATATTTATTTTCTCCACAGATGGCTGACGTGAAACTGATGATTTGTGCTAGATAGGAGAAGAAGATAACAGCAGTATAATTTTAATCGATGACAAATGCATATTTGAGAATATAACTTTATCAAGAGGTAGCACGGTTTCACTTGTCACCTCTTCACGTATCATGTGATCCTGATACAAATCAAATGAATAACAACAATTAAAGGCAATTGAAGATACAATACGTTTTCATTGTGTTTCGGGCCAGTATAGATCTCAGTATAAATTTGATTTCTACCTGGCCTGCAGATAAATAATCCATAAATATAGTAATTTTTTTTCCATATATATACAAATTTATTGTATGTTTGGTTATACTTGGCATAGATCTTTTCATTATTTTGTTTAGAGCAGTAATATCTCTTGGCATGTATATAATTCTAACTGTTTGAAACGTTAATCCTTGTGTAAGAAATCTTGTAAAGTGTATTATGAGATCGT